TTTCAACTCTTGTGGGAATTTCCAAAATATGATGCAGAGATGTGAAGTGAGTGCATGCTGTTGGAGAAATGGCACAGATAGACTTGATAAATGCAGGTGTGTTGTTGTTATGTGCTGTCCAGTTGCCCCGACTCATAGAGACCCCTCCTTGGGTTTCCAAGGCAGTATCACTACAGAAATATCGATGTCTCACAATAAAGTGAAACAGTAAAATAAAGTATGCTTGTATAGGCTATATACTCGAGGGCACATTACAACAACAAATATATATATATATATATATATATATATGTGTGTGTGTGTGTGTGTGTGTATGTATATATATATATGTATATATATGTACACATACACACACACATAAATATAACTTGCTGATTTTATTGAAGAGATTGAAAGTCATTTTATTTGAAGAGATCTTGAAAGATCTAGGAAATTATAGACTAAAGAAAAGAAATATTAAGTTATGCAATAGTTCACTAATGACTGAGATTGCCCCCAAAACTGAATGTAGATACCTTGAGACATGGGAAGGAAAGAGAAGAGAGAGGGAGAATTGGGCAAAATAATTATTGCAAATTTCTGAAAGGGTACATGGAGATAATTTGACCTTTTTTGTTCTGGAGACTAAAACCTAAACAAAAAGATGTCTGCATGGAGGTTATATCTTAACTAATATCTTTTTCAAGAATTATCTCTTCTTTTTCCCTCAACATTTAAGGAGAAAAATACCATCCCTTCTATGATCCTTAAGTAGAATTCCTCTAGGCAGAATTTAACTTTGATTAGTCTGTTAACAAAACAATCCATTTTATAGGCAAATACCCAACTATAGGTATGCCCTTATGTATTCTAATATGTTGCTATCTTATAAAATTATTGAAACCTGCCACTAGCACAATAATTTTATCTCCGATATCTGACATGTGTTAGTGATTTAATTCAGTGATAAAAAGAAAAAAAAAAATAGTGAATACTGCAGTTATTTGAAATTTTTATGAAGATTAAAAGTCCCAGAAGATAAAAGGTAGACATTAAAATATTAACTAGTTCCTCCCATTACTAAAACTCTTTTGGCATGGACAATATATATAGTTGAGAAGAAGAATAATTAGACATTGGAAGTTGGGGGGGAAAATGAATTACATATCTACTAAGGACCCTTGTAATCACTTTATTCTATAATGAAGACAGGGATATTATGAATATGTGAACAAATTCTAAGGAGACATATACAGACTGTAAGTGTAATGATTGTTTTAAAAAAGAAGAAGTTGTATAGAGTTAGAAAGGAGAGACTCATTACTACACTTAGTCTATAATATGTTTAATATGTAAAGAACACTGAAATAAGCCAAGGTCCTAAAATGTGTATAGTTACAATTGCTCTGAAAGAGTCTTATTGATTCATTATAGAATTAAAGAAGAAGAAAATTGTCATCAATTAGATTAAGTAGAACTGCTCCCTATAGAGTACTCAATGGCTGGGACCTTTTGAAAGTGGCTCCCTACAACTTTCTTCCCAGGCATTTGTGAATGAATTCAAATTGCCAGCTTTGGCTAGTAGTCAAGAGCTTAATTTCTCTACCCAGGGACTCCTACAAGATAGGATGTTCTTGTTGTTGTCAGGTGCTGTGAGTTGGCTCTGACTCACAGTGACCCTAGGAGGTCTGGTGGTGGGTGTAGTGCCTAAGGCACTTGACTGCTAATCAGAAGGCTGGTGGTTGAAACCCACAGGCCACTCCTTAGAAGGAAGGTTGGGCAATCTACTTTCGAAGTGATACCGCCTCTGAAACCCAAGGAGGGGTCGCTATGAATTGGGCCTGACTCCATGGCACATAACAACAACAAGTACACGGTGACCCTACTCACAACAGAATAAGACATGGTGTGGTCCTATGCCATCTTCCCAGCCCATGCTATACCTAAGCCCATCATTGCAGCCACTATGTCAGTCCAGCTCACTGAGGGCTCCATCCACTTTAACCAAACATGATATCCCTCTCCAGGGAATGGTCCTTCTGACAAAATGACCTAAGTACACAGCACGAAGTCTGGCTATTCTCACTTCCAAGGAGCATTCTGGCTGCACTTCTTCCAGGATAGATTTATTAGTTTTTCTGGCAGTCCATGGTATTCTCACTATTCTTTGCCAAGGCCACAACTCAAAAGCATCAACTCTTCTTCGGTCTTCCTAATTCATGGTCCAGCTCTCACATGCATGTGAGGTAACTGAAAATATCACAGCTTGGATTAGGAGCAACTTAGTCTTCAGAGACATCTTTGCTCTTCAGCATTTGAAAGAGGTCTTTTGCAGCAGATTTGCCCAGTGCAATATGACATCTGATTTCTTGACTGCTTCTTCCATTGATGTTGATTGTGGATGCAAGTAATATGAAATCTTTGACAACTTCAATCTTTTCTCCATTTATCGTGATACTGCTTATTGTCCCAGTTGTGATGATTTTCATTTTATGTTGAGGTGTAATCCATATTGCAGACTGTAGTCTTTCATCTTTATCAGTAAGTCTTCAAGTCATCTTCACTTTTCGCAAGTAAGGTTATGACATCTGCACATCACAAGATAAAATAAAGATCATTAAATTGTGAGTTTGATCATAAAAAAAATCATATTAACACTTTCACTACAAATTTTTTGACAAATAATGAGGTTGTTTTCACAGTTCTCTTTCTTGATCTGTCCTGTAACTTACATATGTATAGTAAAGGCTTTAGAGAAGTGTTGAGCTATACTTTTCCTGTTTGCTAATTAGTTCTACTGTTGATTTTGCTGAAAATTAGAAGATCTGATTTGATCAAAGAAATCATTAATACTTCCCTAATATAATTTTCTAATAAACTTTAAAATTCCTCTAGTGGGGAAAGGAACATTTAAGAGTCAAAAGAAATAGGTTTTCTTATTTTTACTGACAAACTAGAGAAAGTATTTAACTTATCCAGAAAAATAAATATTGGGTCCTTTTATTTTACCAAACACACACAATACACTCTTTCAACATTAAATTCTATCACTTAATTTTCATGAAGAGTGAATTTTGTAAATATCGAGGGTAATTAACTCTAAATACATTAACTCTAAATGTGTGCTTACTTTCCAAGCAAAATAATTAGCTTTGGGTATTTAAGCCTAAATATTAAGTTAAATTAAACTCAATTGAATAGCCATTATTTCAAATATGATTAAAAACGGAATTGCAATCTTTTATTCTTAATTGCAACAGTTTTCATAACAATATAATGCACATATATATTTACAGCTGAAGATTTTTTCAATGTGAGCAGACTATCAACATTATGTGAACTTCAATACACAGTCTTAGTATTATTATATTCATTCCTCTTCTCAGATATTTAAAACACATTTTTCTGACTCAAATATTAAACTTAAAGAAATTCAAAGCAAGACAAAATAAAGCAAAACCAAAAGCCTTTGTTTTCAAGTTGATCCCTGCTCACAGAGACCCCAGGTATGACAGAGTGGAAACGCTCCGGAGGGTCGTCTTCACTCGTTTTCTAAAGAAGCAGATCTGCCCTGGGGCGGTTTGTGGGGTTTGAACAGCCCACCGCTGGGTTAGTAGTTGAGCACAAGCTGTTTGGTGCCAATAGGATGGCTTCAAATAGACAAAATGAAAAGCATAAATAATAAAACAAAGAAAGAAAGAGAGAAAAAAAAAAAACAACAGCAACACAGTCTCTGCTTTGTCAGAGGTTCCACTGATCTCAGTTACTCATTCTTTCCACCTGGCGTTAAGTAGATGAGTTGGTTCCAGAATTCTTATTTTTTTAGGTCATCTTTCTACTTGAGAGGTCCCTTCCTGATTCCCTCTCTTCCTGTTATTTGGGAGTG